GTTACTCCATCTCCTACGTCACCAGCAGATACTGCAGATGTAGCCATTGGTAGTCCTGAGAGTTCTGAAAGAACTTCACCTGACGTATCACGTTTTGAACCGACTCGTCGATGTCCAGCATATGAGAGTGGCATGGAAGCACCTGGTATTAGGCACAATAAGGAATGTAGGAAGCGTTTTTCTGAGTTTGAGGAACAACGGAGAAAGGAAAGGCGTATCGAACCTGCACTCTCTCCGGAGAGCCCTGTAGTTGTACCCCAGGCTCAGGTACCAGTGCAAGAGGTTGATGATGATGAAATGGTATCAACACCTGAGTCCGCTCGGCGACAGCCGGAAACACAGGTTGAATACACCAGAAGGTTTAAAAGGAAAGCTGAGACCGACCGAGAACAGTTAGAGCGAGAGATCCGTGAAGATTCGGAAGAATTGCTTCAAACAAACATGGATTTTGATTGGTTTTGGGTTGGTAGTGGTGAACCTGTGTTGGTTGCGAGTTTGGGTACACTTGAAGGTCCAGCGTCTTTTGCTCCGGCAACATCTCCAGAAATGTTTTCTGGTTCTCTTGATTCTGTTTGGCAATGAGCATGATTTTGTGAAGATGCGTCTTGGAGGTCAAGATGTCTTAGTTTGGAAACCGGACAGTATCATAGATGACCAGAGTTTGCAAGAGCTTGATTTGGAACAAGGTTTCAAGGGTATGCAGGAAGAGGTTAGGAACTTGGAACACTGCAAGACTGGCCGCATCATCACCCAGTCAGAACTGGACGACATGAAGAAGGCTGTTCCGAACCTTCGTTTGATCCAGTCGAGGTGGGTTGCAGCTTACAAAAGCAGTGAGAGGGTTCGAACCAGGATTGTTGCGAAGGACTTCAATCGTGGCTCCTCAGCTAGATCTTTGGGATTTAGTAGTCCTACCCCTTCGATTGAAAGTGTTCATTTGGTGCTTGCAATGGCAGCGACAGGAAGATGCTTTTGCGTGCATTGGACGTGAGTCATGCCTTCATGCATAGCCCATTGGGAACTGGTGTACATGTTGTCTTGAAAATGCCGTTGTCGATTAGCTTTCCATCAGGTGAAGTGACCTACTATTTGCTTGAAAAGGCATTGAACGGGTTACGTGATGCTTCACTGGCATGGTTGCAGCTTTTGACATGTACGGTTGAACATGTAGGCCTTTGGTCTGATTCGTTGGAACCATGTGTGTATGGTGGACAGATTGTGAAAGATGGTCATGAACTTGGATTTTGCTTGTGTGTAGTATATGTTGATGACATCTTGTTGTTGTCGACCACGAAGGAAGCCGAAGAACATGTGGTTGCAACTTTGTCGTCTGTAGTGCCTGTGAAGACAACTGGAGAGATCGGAGAAGAGGGAGGATCCCTGACCTTTATTGGTCGTGTCATCAAGAGAGAAAGAGATTCCTCTGAGATCACTCTGGGTGTTGATCCACATTATCTTGACTCTACGTTTCTGGATTATGGTGTTACCCGTGGGTCTGAGAATGTTCCTGACATTTCGGGACATCTGGAGAAAACACTCACGGATAGCAACTTTCAGAAACCTTTGTCAGATGAAGCATACTCACGCTTCAGGAAGGCGTTGGGAAAATTGCTTTGGTTGTCACAGGTGCGTCATGACTTGAAGACATGGATGTCTGTTCTTGGGACGCAGCAAGCGAAACCGATGCACGGAACTGAACAAGCATTGAAAGCAGTCTTGAGATTCTTGTATGTTGACATGCATGCCTGCTTGTGTCTACCGAGCAGAGATGAGACCATCATGAGTCAGGTTGACGATGCTCAACTGAGATCAGTCCATCTCCACTCTTTCAGCGACGCTTCACATGCGCTGTATCGTTTCAACAACCGCAAAGGTGTTAGCGGTGGAGCTGTTTTCTTTGAGAGGTCTTTGGTAAGGTCTCTGAGCCGACAGCAACAAGCTTTGAGTCTGAGTTCATGTGAGGCAGAGCTTTTTGGTTTGCAATCAGTGTGTCAAGAAAGTGTTGCGTTTGGAAGACTGGTTCACCGTCTTCTTTTTGCACTTCATGAGATCGATGAGCCAGAAGAAGTTGTGATTTGGTTGGAGAGCGATTCAAGCTCCGCATTGCAACTTGTGAGGTCCATGGACGTGCCACGACGCTCACGACACATTGAGATAAGATTGCATTGGTTACGAGAGCAGATGAGAGAGGTTTTGTTGAAATTGAGACACAGAAGTGGTGTTGAAAATCCAGCAGATCTTTTCACTAAATGCTTGAGTGCTAAAGCTTTCTATAAACATCGATATGCTCTTGGGATTGTTGTTCCAGATGGTTTGACAGCTGAGTTAGCAGAACTTCGTGAGCTGTGTGTGTTGCAGCAAGTGTTGACTCAGGGTTCTTCAATTGCGATTGTGGAACTGTGTTGTTCGGAACATTCGAACTTGAGAAAGGTTTGTGAAGTTTCAAAGGTCCCATACATTGGTGTAGTTGCTAAGGTGCAGAGTTCTGGAACGTTGAGTCGTGTAGTTGTTTGCATTCCACAGTGGAAGAACTCGTCATGTCCACCTTGGGTGCATATTCATGCATCGACTCCTTGTGGAAGTGGAAGTCCGCTTCGCAATTTCAATCCGGACTCAGTCACTGAAAGGGACCAGGAATGGGATGAGATCATCAACGCGATTGGTGGTTACTTCAAACATGCAGACTCATGTTCGTTTGAGCTTCCAGAACGAAATACCATTTGGTCCCGACCTGAGACAGTGAATCTTTTGGAAAGTTTTGACATGAGGCATGAGGCTTTGGTGAAGTTGTGCAAGACTGGATGTCAGAACAAGGATGGTATTCCGATTGGAAAGACATTGAAGTTTGTTTCCAATTCAGCTTGGTTTGCATTAAATCTCCACTCCAAACTTTCTACATGTACATAACAGACACACGCAGAACTCTATCAAATCAACTATGCTGAGACAGCGTTTTACAACCGAAAGTTGGCAAGAGACATTTTGATTGCGGTCAAACACGCAGCGAAGAAGTGAATTTTCGTTTGAAAGGGGGCCCTGTGAGAGAGAGACAGAAGTTGACGTCACGTTTCATTTTCCTGTTTTGCATGTTGTTTCAAACAAACGTTGCCAAAGACAAACAGGAGTTTTCACTGTGTTGCATTTTGTGCAGAGTTTTGTTGCGCGATGCTGTAAGATGCGGTGTGTGCAGCGCAGAACAATATGAAAGGTCACTGTGCCTATCACGAAAGTGATGGCGGTTCGACACTTCGTTTCACGTTCTAGGTTGATTGCTCCTAAGAGTTTGGCCACGGTCTAGTGCTTTTTCACTACCGGACGCGGTTTGATTTTGCAGCCATGGCTTCATCCAATTGGAGCATTGAGGATGAGAAGATGTTTCAGCAGTTGGCACAGCGTCGTACTTCTCAGATGCCATTGCCGACAACTGAAGCTAGTGGTGCAATGACCGATGCATCAAAGCGCAGAATTGAAGATGCAGAGTTTGAGGTCGACACAGAGTCAGATTGGGTGGTTGGAAGTAGTTTCATGGAGCCCGTGGGAGGCACCGAAGATTTGGCCACAAAGGCCTTGCTTCCAGCTGGTATTACAAATATGACAATGTGGGGAAAGACCAAGTTTGCATTTGGAAAGTATGAGAAGGAGAAGATGAGTTACAAGACTGTCTTCGAGAAAGATCCCAGCTATGTTTCATGGCGTCGAAAACATTTGACCAAAGACTCAGCGAAGGGTCCTGCCTTGGATTGGTCAAGGTACATTAAGGCCCGAGATTTGGTGGACTGCAAAGTGGCTAATGTGCCATTCTATGCAGGAACTACCTTGCGTCGAGAGTTTTGTGATTGATGACACTGTGAGGGTGGTTGGATCTATACAGGATCTCATTCTATGTGGACAACTGTAGTTTGCAAGATTGTCGAACTGGATGAGTGGTCACTATGTAGCCTTTCGGCTAAGGGCATCCTTATGTATTGACCTGTCGAACTTGGGCGATATGTGCTGAAGTCTGGATGGGTTACAGCTATACATGGAATGGAGTTCATCTCAAAAGGGGGTGTGAAAATTTCTGACATCTGTGGTGAGATGAATCCATTTGGTCTTTCTGCATTGGAAGAAGTGAATTTGCTTTTCACCTTGATGGTGAGCTCAACCGTGATGGTTGACATTGTATTTGCACGTTTCATGTTTTGCACGTTTTATTGGAGATGACGAAACCCTACAACGATATACTTTTCGTCTTCTTTGAGTACTTTGATTGCACGGAGAACACAGTGAGGATTTGAATTTGTATAGTGACATGGAAAATCAAACCATTTTCCATATCTTTTGCTTTAGTTTCCACCGGTGAGGTGCACGAAGGAATCGTGAGAAGATCGTAGAATTCATTTTGTGACTTCGGAAGAAGGAACTTTGTTTGACATTGATCGGAGAAGTTTAGGTTGTTTTGTCTCTCAATGATGATAGCGAGAGCAACGTTCTGAAAGGCATTCAGAATTGGAGTTGCTAACAGATCTGAGGGAGACATCACAGAACACGTTTTGGTGCTTGAAATGTTTCAACAGTTTTCAAACACTCAAACTTATTTAAACAAACAAACCATGTCTTGATGTAAAGACTTTTTGTGACGACATGTGTTTTTGATCGCTTTTGTGAAGTTGGCAGAAAGATGCTAACTTGCGACTCCGCATCTGTTTTGTGTCAAGGAGTGACACACCAACAAGAACCATAGCGACATGAGCAAACATCTTGTCTCTTGTGTGTTGTGGTAAAAGTGGCTGAGCTCTGGGAGTGGTTGACTTGGTTGCGTGGACGGTCTAGTTTGTTAAGGACGACGTCCTGGACGCTGACCCAAGTAGGTCTAGAGGTTTCGAAGGTTGAGGTTACCTTCCGCAATCGTCGAGAGAGCGGCGGTCCTGTTAGACGAAGCTCAGGCGGCAAGGAGCACCGCCTCGCTGGAGAACCCAGAGGACTCGTTCATTTGGGAACAACCAACGTTAGAGAGGCATATGAAAAGAATGAGAAAGGTGGGGCTCGACCAATGGCCGTATGGAGCAGAGACTAAAAAGCCGACTGGTATTCTTACAGATGCAGCTTGGATGGCGGACGCCTGTGCCAGGTGCGTGGACGCTCGGCCCCACCAACATATGCCAGGAGGGCTGGCTGGAAAGACCCTGGACTATTTCGTCGATCCTCCCAGGGAAGTGTGGAAAACTGCTTTGGCAGCCGAGTACCCCACTGGACTCTGCTGGGCATGGGCGCAGTCACTTGTCCGCTTCTTGAAGACGGAGGAAGGACTGGTGACGTTGCAAAAGAAAGCCATCAAAGTGGAAGGGAACGCACTCAGAGCGGTGCGGCCAGAGGTACAGTCAAAGCAGCCAGCAAGCAATCGAGAAAGGAGAGAGATGGAAAACAACCAGGCAGTAGGGGGGCTGAGGAACCTCTATGGCGCCATCGTCCGCACTTACAGGTATCTTTTTGCCCTGAAGATTTTGGCGTGGGATGAAAGATGGTTTTCACAATTTTTCGAATCTTCGACTGGAATTCCTATTTTTTCTGCCTCCGTTGCCGTGTTCTGCACGGGCTGGAGCCAAATTTTTGGCGGCTGGAGAGAAGTTCGGAGAAATGTACGGCAATTTCTCATGACCCCGCCGAGGGAAAGGAACCATGCTGGCAGATACAAACAGAGTATAGAATGCAACGAATTTCCTTGTAGAAGATTGGTTTTTGAATAGATTTGAAATGCCACGGGCTGAGAAAACTTCTGTTCGTAGTGAACAGAAAGAGTGAAGCTTTTGGCACAATCTCTTCGCCATGTCCATATTCGTCCTTTTTTGAGCCATTAGTTTTGCTCCAGCAGCCTTGACAGGCTTAGGGTGTGCACAGCATCCGGGCGTTCACTTGACAACCCTGGCCCGGGCTGGAGCTGACCATACACGTAAAAAAGGTGTGAGCTAATGGTTGTCTAACTTGACATACTCCTGTCCATCTGTCCATATTGTCGGAAGTTCGACTTCTAAACTTCCTTCGATAACGCAAAGGTTGATATATTGGTTGCAGATACCGCGGCGATAGCCTCACGTTAAGATATACATAGAACAGCGCGATTTACCTAGATTTGCAACTGTTGAGCGAGCGTGGCGATCCGTGTTTTTCCATGGGAGGGTTTGGGGTGGGAATTTTACTTACACAACTAGCACAGGCAGGTCCCGTTTTCATCCGCTTTGTTGCGACATGTGACATTTTCACAATGATTTCATGTTTTAGTGATGTAACAATGTAGTGATCTAGTGATTTAGTGATTTGAACAACTGAGCAACCCTTGGCACACACGAATGGTCACCAGGCAAAAGTATTCATTGCAAAAAACATGACGTGCACGCCCGTGACAAACAGATGAATTTGTAATGCAACAATTTGCCGTGAGGCATTTTTGTTGTAACAAGTGATTCGCAAACACATATTTTGTTACCATTGTACTGTGATGCGGCATAGTTGTTTGCCAAATGTGGACGCGTGCTGGTGACGGTAGTTGTTTGCGTTTGGCCGTATGATTCACAATGATCGATGTTGAACTGTTCAAGCAATGTTGTACGTCAGTTTGGTGATTTGTTGCCTTGATTTTTCTTCAAAACTTCAATCCTTCAAATTGTTTCTAACATTTTTCAGCAATCATTTTTTGTTGCGTTCCGACAAGGTTGATTAAATCGCATTTTTTTGGTTTAAAAACATTTGACATGTAACACGCGCAGAAAACCTGGAGTGTTTCGGTTGGTGGATGGATTCACAAATTTAGGACAACATAGTGTAATTGCATATTCATTTTGACGTGCACCACTGGAAACAAAACCCCTCAAAACGCCAATTCAGTATGATATGATAACCTGACCAAAAAATAGGTTTGCAGGTTGCAGCATGCCAGATGCGAAAACCATGGCACTTGTGGATGAGAGCAGGTGCGGATGTCACAATCACAATTTTTGATTGTTTCATTAACATTATAAAGCAGTGGTCGAACAGGTCCTGGTTTGCATTGGGTGTTGTTGGATTTAAAGGTGGTATAAAATCGTTTCGTTGCAATCCGAACTTCAATTGTCCACTTTGGCATTTTTGCTGTATGATCTTCGTTGGGTATTCACATTTTTGAACAAACATTGTTGTGTCGATCAGGCAGAGTGCAGTCATGATGCGATTGGCAAATTGTTCTCTTTGTTGAGTCACGTTTTCTCGTTAACACTTGTCAACATGCCCAACCAACCAAATGGAAAAAATCCTGCATTGTTTCTGCATTTAGGCGCTTAGCGAATCCCAAAGACATGGAAAATTCACGTGGATGGCACGATCGGAGTCTTGGCAACCACTTCAGGCATGAGTTCAATATCGAGTGTGGGTGAAACCAAAACGGGTTCATGCCCAAATGCCTCGAACATACTTATACGAAAATGTGCTGATTATTAAAATCATTATTATGACATTATGGAGCAAACAACTGGAATCCTGCATCTGATTGGCGTGTTTTTGTCCTCCCTTGAGGAAATTGCCGGATGGCGATGTGCCGGAGAAGATCAAGAAGCCGCATGCCTTTAGATCAGTGCTTCCCACACAAAAATGAAAAACAACTGTAAAACTTCAGGGAACGCCATTTCCACCCATTTCGGTCCATACACTTCCAAACCTTTTAATTCTGCAAAAAACCATTTGGATCTGTAGCTATTGGCAAGTGCTTTTGACACCTCGTTGACCATTGGGGTTTTTGGATGGTTTTTGGTAGCCAGTAGCTTATGTCCCTTGGATCTTTGTGGGCGAATGGTTTGTCCAAGGATTGCAGGATGGAAGCGTGCCATGAAAGAGTTCATGAACGGAGATCCGAAACTGAATGACTTGGTCCACCTGTCCGGGAACCCGGAATAACCTGGCTGTTGAAGTCGGCTGTGGGTTCAGGTTCCTGGAGGTCGGGCGCTTGATGAGTTGTTGCACTTGGATTGGTATTGTATAGCTATATATAATATAGTTCAAGTATTGCTAAACTTTTAAACAGTGTTTTCTTTGTTTTCACAGAGTTAGCCTCTGGACTTCACAGTTTTTGAAAGAGTTTCTCCCATTGTAAATATGTTGCGAAAATTGTGATTGATGAAAGATGCAAAATATCCGAGCAACGTGATGAGTTCTGTGGGTTCCGTGAGGTTCACCCAGAAGTTCGTTCAGATGGGTCAGAGCAGAAACTTCACTTTGAGCACTTTGCTGGACCCGTCAACGGGCACAATGTGAACCTGGATTGAAACAGTTGACCACCATTTTGATGTTCATTATGGTCCCAGGGTTTCGATACATAACCGTTATAACCATATTGTTATGTCGAAGCCTCCGCTTTATTGGCGTTCACAAAGGGCAGGATTGATTCCATCAAATGGCATATAGGAAAACTTATTATACAGTTGGATTTTGGGGTACCCTATTTTCAGACAAAGCCATAGAGATAAAGTGATTAGGCATTTTGCTAATTCTCAGTTTCAGGTTTGATTCCTGTACAATTACCACACTTTCACCCCGTGTGAAGCTCGTGCTTCGCAGGACTTGTCCTGGACTGTGCTCATCCTCACATGGGAGGTGGAACCAGCTGACGGGCCACGGATGGGCCGGAGATTTGGAGAAGGGAATTCATGGAATTGTTTGCCCCTATTTATCAATGTCAACCATCAACTTGAGAGATTTCGGATCCTTTTCCTGGTGACAGATCGGTGGGTATGGTTCAGACATTTGTGACTCAAATGCGGATGGTACAGAGCTTGGCAGTAGATCCTTTTGGAGGACCGCAATCCTTTGGACGCAGTTGCTGCTTTGACTTTTAGAAACCACAGATTTTCGCCCTGGTGCAAATGCTGAATCAGTGCCTGTCCCAAGAAAGTATCCTTGTCTACTGTCCGATAGCAACAAGGGTGGCAGCTGGCCTGAGGCGGTGATCAACGATCGTTTACCCATGATGGATGAGGTGGAGCGCGGCTTCAAAGAGAAGTACGAGGCCAGGAGTTGCGTTGAGTTTTTGGGCCAATGAGGATGCCACATGTGGAGCGTCAGCAAGAAAACGGTGCATCCGCAGGTGTAGGATTCTGCATTTTTGGACAAGACTCACTTGACTGTGCTTTTCCAACTTAAGAACTATTGAATCTTGGGCAAGTCCAGAAGGAAGTCTCCCACCTCTTAGGGTACTTTTTTTCTCACCAGGATCTGCAGAAGACCTTGATGGAATCCCGCAGGCGGGTCCGGTGGTCCGTGCCCTGTTGGGGCGGCCCCATGGAGCCCCAGGGGGGGGGGCCCAACTGGTGCTGTGCCAGGCAGTACCTGGCGGAGCTGTCGGAGCATCGCGATCGCATGCGGAGCGAAACCCTCAGTCCACCACTGCAGGCGCCGGGGCTCGGTGATATCGATGGGGGACAGGTCCGCAACGTTTGTTGAAAAGAACAAGGCCACAAGGCATTGGATGATGGGGTAAAGTTGTTCGCCTGCCTCTGGGTGGGGAGGTCCAAGCTTTGACTCATAACCAGGTGTAGAATTTGCAGAGTGTTTGGTTGCGGACTGCCGGAGTGGACAGATTGGATAGTGATTGTACTTCGTCCCGATCGCCGCAATACAGGCTGCCCTTGCTGAAATCAGTGAAGAAGATGCAGACCATCATGTGTACCGCAACTTTGGCATGGTCTTGCGGTTTGGTGCAGAGATTTTTGTTCTTTGGGACCGGGTTCCTCAGGTTTGCTAGATGCTTCGATGTTGGGGAGCATGCATGTAGACCAGTAGCTGTTTGTTTTTGAAGCAGGGTTTCTGCATCCTAAGTTTGGGAGTCATGCATTTGGATATTCACCTGAGACTGACCTCTCATAGGAGACTTCTCCACCGGCTCCAGTTTGATGTTCAGTGGATTGATTTCATGGGAAAATCTGCTAGAACCATTGCTTTCACCACCAAATCTAGTGGGTTTCCATTTCCTGTCATTTTTCCCTCAAAACAGCAGTCTGGATTTCATGCACCAGCGCCAGGCTTTCAACCCGAGATGGCACTGGATCCTCTCACCCAGGAATATTTCAAGGTCCCTGCGCCTGGATACGAAGCAGATCCAAGTGGAATGGGAGCTCCAGGGCAGACCCAAAGCGGTAGTCACTCCTGCTAGTCCTTGAGGTTCCCATGCCAAACTGTTGATTTTTCTGAGGCATCACGACGTCACATCAGTTGGGGTTGGTGGTGGAACTTAGTTCCCGCAGCCATTTTGGCGCATAAACGGGGCATACCATTGCTGGGCCGTGGCTGCCGTTCTTCTTTTCTTGGTTACCATGATGATGAGACTCCTCGCGGCGGCAGTTTTCACCGTTTTGCCAGTGGAATCTTCAGCAGCCAATGCCACCAGAGGTCTGAAAGTGCGCAGGGAGGACGCGCGGGTTGGAAGATGTTCTGACCAAACATATTCGGGGATACAAAGCAAGACAAAAATTGATGGTTCACATTTGGTAACTGCAGTTCTTTTCCTTTGTAAACATGTTTAAACGTTGCGTTTTAGAGGCTTACTGGAGATGATCCCGCGATGGTTGGGTGATGTCTATAGCATCCCCCAAAAAGATGGAGATGGAAAGTGAAATCTTAATCAAATAGTGGGAAATTACCCATTTCCATCTTTTGGGGGGTTGCTAATGCAACCTCTTCAACATCTCAGCGAGGACACTGTGACCATTCTTCATGTGAGTGACACCCATAGTTTGCATTACTCTCTGGGTGATCTCCCCTCGGCCGACATCTTCATCCACTCGGGTGATGTCTCCACCGTTGGGAGTGATGGTGAAGTGGGAGATTTCAACAACTGGCTGGGATCCCTGAAGGGAAAGTACCGCGAGATGTTGGTGATTTCTGGAAACCACGACTACTGGGAGACTAACTGGCGCTTGAACCGTGGTGCCCTTTCAGATGCCACGGCGCAAAGCCCCAACTACTTCCAGGAGAAGATTACAAACGCCAAGGCGTCTACCAAAATGGGACTTTAATCAACCGCAATGGCTTTTAACTCTGGAGATTTGAGCATTTAACATGGGGGGTGAAGCAGCGGAATGTAGGATTGATAGACAATGGTGAAGCCCACGCTCATCTGTTTTAATTTGTTCGGTATTTGATCTGGTTGGTGGTTTCAAGCATAACAATTTGAGATGAGCCAAAATAAATAACGTGTTCGTCAGGTCAAACACGTATGAACAGAACTTGGGTAGCTGAGTCCGTGATGACCTCAGGTGAAGCTCTACATTTTGCAATCTAACAACAACAACAACAGCAACAACAGCAACAACAACAACAACAACAAAGACAAAGACAAAGTGGGTCATAAGTGATCTGTTTTTCTGCAGCGGAACAGGTGTTGAACCATGACCTGGTTGAAGTGATGGGTCTCAAGATCTGGGGCGCTGGCTGGGCCCCTCGCCGTGGGGATTCCTTCTCGGGCAACAACTATGATGATGTGCCTGTAGGCGGGGAAGTGGGTGAGGAAACAACCAGAGTGGGACATTTTTGGTGCATCTAGCCATGGGAAGATCGCTGACCATGACAATGATAAGTATAAGCATCATGGTGATACGAAATACAAACTGTATCAAATTGTTAGGATATGGAACCATTGGACTCTATAAGCAATGAGAGCGGGAAGATAACGGATAGAAATGGTGATATTAGCCACACGAGACTGAGCGGGTTCACCAACAATGCACCATTTCACTCACTTGACTTAGTAAGATTCCCACATGTTGGTTTGTCAAATTTGTACCTCTACTCTTGTGACTTCTATGCTTGCCACCCATGTTTGTAACATGTTTGTTATCTCCCCTCCTTCTGGGGTAACAACTCCGCTTCAATTGGTTTGCATCTCGAATTTCAACATCCCCACTTCAGCTGGTTTCATCCCAACACTTAAACTTGGGTCAGTTCCCAAGTTTTCTGATTGGGTCTAGCTTCATGCTCTCCCAATATCGGGGTCGGGACAAAAGTGGGACCCGAAGCTTTGATAGTTTGCAACTCACCAACAAAATGACTGACAATTTGTTGTTTTTCCTGGGTCTCAATTAAAAAACACGTATATCCAGCTTGTTCTTGGACAATTGTCTCTTTTGGTTGGCGAAATTGCTCTTTGCTTGAAATCATTGCTCCATTTTTGATTTTCTGGTTTTCCCCAGTCCCCAGTTCCCCAGGCGTGGACATCCTGGTGACCCACGACGGTCCGGTGGGCATCTTCGACTCCACCGCAGGCGGTAGCTGGGGCTCCAGTCAGCAACTTCGCAGCGCCATCTACCGAAGCAAGGTGCAGGGAGCCACGTTTTCTCGGGGTCCTTTTTGGATGTTTATTGTTGATAGATCTTGGATGATCTTGGCTATCCAGTGGTTAGGCGCGGTTCGGAGTGGTTATCCAATGGTATCCATAGGAGCCAAGGAGTCGTTAAGAGTTTCCCAACCACATGATAGATGGATAACACCTAAACAATGAAGTTGATGATTGGGGGTACTAAAGCTAGGGGTGGAACTTGCCAATGTTCTCTCCGGGAGCAACTGGACATTTCGACTCCAAGAGTTTGATGGGGGGACCAAAAAACTGGAAGTGGGCCCAATTATATCATGTTTCTTTAACCTGTCAGAATTTCAAGACCCAAAGGTTGATGATTGGGTTGACTTTTTGGGGACCCAGCTACATGGTGGTGGCTTTTGCTATCCTGGGGGGTTTCCTATCCGTTTTCCCTTCCGCCATTTCTAGGATTGTTAGCCTTTTTCAGGAGAGGAGGAGCATTGGAACTTTCTTGACTTTCCAAAAACTGGATGGTCTGCTTATTAAAATAAATTTGAATCCTAAACATGACCAGTGACATACCAGTCATAAGTAGCAAGAAATTGGGGGTCGGTCAAGACCTATGTTCATTGGAATGGGCAGATCACATTTTGGTGGTTTCGACCACTGTGATGACAGCTTTCTCAAAGGAACCGTAGGAAATGGATGGAAATGGATGTTTCCATATCCACCAAGCGGTTGGGGATATGGCCCCCAAAGTGGGGAGTTCGCCATCGAGCAGAGAGAGATACTCATAGAACGAGCAAAAGGATCCACAAAAATCTGGTGTTTTTTCGAAAGCTTGAAAGATCTGAAAGCAATTTGGCCGTGCTGAATTGCCAGACCCATTTTGGGGATCACAATAAACCGGACTATACCCAGCATTTGCAGGTTTTGCCCCACTTCCATGAACATGGTGGATCTTCCTCTGCGATTTCAGTCACTAAAAGTTCCATTTCCACCACTGATGGTGTCACCAGGCAAAGGTTCATCTCTTTGGACACATCCACGAGCAGCGTGGTCACTGGCAGAAGGGAGGCGGCAGTTTCCAGGGTCACTCGACATGGTCAGTCCGGTGGTGTAGGGAACAGGTGAGTGGTGTAGGAGATGATAGTGCAAGAAACAAGTTACCCGGCAATCTAGCTGGCAAATGGGACATTTGTCGTGATTATGAGATGAATCACCGACATATCCATCAAGATGGATAGATTGGATCCTACTACTTTTTTGTTGCAGCACTCAAGCAGACCCCGGAAAAAGTTGAAGAGAAATGGGATCGATGCTAGTGGCTTTGGTGCGGAATCCATGAATGCGTCGACGCCAGGCCCAAAAAGGAGGTGCCACGCACAGACTCGCACAGTCTCACAAAAACAACCTGTAAAAGAACATTTGTGGATATTTTACATATTTACCCTTTTTTGTTGTAGGATTTCGGATTTGAAACGTCGAGCCGGACTTCCGCTCCGGCTTGTGCTCAGGTGGCGTGGAATATCGTCCGAACCCCGGCAGCAACCAGGTCTTTCGCCCCAACGGCCCACCCCCGGCAGACTATCCCGTGCAAGTGGAGTCCAACAACGCCATGGCCAACCAACCCGCCGTGGATCATAGCTGGACCGGCGTCTGGGCACCTCAGCACATTGTGGGACGACCCCGGTTGATCACCGCCAAAAGGGACGGTGAATCCTGGAGCTTCACCTCAAAGGTGTTGTGAATAGGAATAGGATTGAAATGGATTGAATAGGTCAAGGTTAGGCCTTGGCACTCTGGGTAGCGGAGGGTAGCTGCCCACCCAATCTTGATATTTTCCAGCTGCCCTTGGCAACAATTTTGAGGCGCGGTATTGGCAACGGCTAATACCTTGAACGCGCCCCACAGCTTAATACCTGCCATCCCTAATTCGGCAACACAGTGACATGGAGTTGTCGTCCAACCACAGAGGAGATCAGATCAAAAGTCCAACATATAGTCCTCTCAGCAAAACGAAATGACTGTGGTCGGACGACCGACCCCAACTCTAGGGAGTAATCACTTAATTTTGAGGCACACCACTGCGTGCTTGGCGTGAATGAGCTACACGCGTGTATGTGGTTCTTTTTTTTTGTTCGCCATCTCCATGATTGGCCAGGCGTATGCATCAATCTTGACACTAGAGTCACTAGACGTCGCAGAAAGCGGTGCTGCATCGGAAGCGGCTGCGGGTTAGGGCTACCCATGATTCAGGCTTCAGGCCTCACCTGACTTTGACGCTGAATGATAGGGTTCCGAAATGTCCAGGCCGCCATGATCGAGAATATGAAGGTGGCACTGACCAAAGGCCACAGTCTCCAGATGCTGTCGCACTTTTGTGATTTGTTTGATTGCTGTGTTTATTTCTGTCATGTGGGGAAGAGGTGCAGCAGCAGCTGGCGAGACCATGTGCTGCCAGACATGTTTGGTTTGGCGTCATCCATCAGCTGATTGGAGTGATATGACGTATCTCATTCCCCCTCTCTCTATCGTATTGTACAGATACAGTATATATATATATATGCAAGTTTTATGCATATACATCTACATACACGTGTATGTAATTTATGTATTTTTTAAGTATCTGTCTTCAATTTCATGTCTTGTTTGTGTGGGTGCCAAGCAATTGAAACACCTGCTAACTTCATTGCCAGACAACTGCTGATGAACCAGTTGAAGGAAGCGCAAACAGAGTGGGGATCTCAGTTGGCCAACTTTGTCCCACCCTGTGATATTTGGGATTCCTCAACTGTAGGCTTGATAGGCTTGGGGGTTATCCTTTCCGTCATCATACCCTCCTGTCATGTTTGGCACCACTCAAGTTTCAGGGAATGTGACTTGCCTCTGCATAGCAGGCGGAAAGATATGCTCGCACTTATCAGGTCAGATAGACTCCGAGAGCAGCTGGTGTGATCCTTAGAGGGAAGGAGTCATCTTTGATTGCCCTAAGCTTGAAGGTTGTCCCTTGGCTACAACCACTCGAATTGCAGGCATGTTAGGTTCAAGTCTCATTTTCTCCTCAAAAAATTTCCACGTCAACCGTGTTTTGGGTCGGTTTTGAAATGAGGATCACGCTTCGTAAGTGACTCAAGTGAGGGTTGTCAAACCCCATGACGTTTCCCGTCGCTGATTCCAAGGAGGATGCTTTGTTGCAAGCCATGCTGGCCGAAGGGTCTGAGAAGCGCGCGCCTGCACCTCCCAGGCACGACTTTTTTTAGCTCCTACTGAACGAGGAAAACGGGAAGATATCTGCATATAATGGGGGAAATCGGTGAAACCGCCAGTTTTTGAATGTTTTTGATGGTTGATACTATTGATACTAAGTCATTTGCTGGTGATTGCGGATGGTTTACTGGCTTTACCAAGTGTCAGGCGGCCTTCGGCTCAGGCAGATCCCGGCGAGGCACCGAATCCAAGGTGATCAACTGGCGGTTTCCTAAAATGGTATCCCAAAATCATCCAAGTTATGGGTGATTCTCAATGGGAAAACCCATGGTTTAGGATGTATGGGGTCCCGGCATTTTAGGAACCCCCAACTGGATTTGGCATCATAGAATTTGATACCTCAAGACCCCTCAAGATACTGGAGAAGAAGAATTCTCCACTCCACACAGGCTTATGATACCCTTTGGTAATCAAATTATGGTAACTGGAAATCCCCGCACTAAATAGAGGTTTCTAGCTGTGAATATCATCGAACTATTGCTGGGGGATTTTCCAGCAAGCCATGGAGCTGATGACACCGGAGGGTATTGATGATGGATTCATTGGGCTGTCTCATCTGGCACCTGTGGTTTGTCAGTACGGGGGACGGTGGTACCATCCAGGTCACGATATGCGACATTGGACACACATCCAGGTCATTCTCAACAGGTTTCTGGCAAACTCCGTGTGACCAACAGAGCTATTTTTTGGTAAGTGATTTGAGAGGCATCAATATCACCTTTTCTAATTTCTACTCAAATTTAAGTTGGTATGGCCGTCATTGTGCATCTTTTGAACCAAGAAATCCGAATCGTTGATTCTCCGGAATTCGATTGATGACTCTCCGACGCATTTTCCAAAGACTTGGACCATGGGAGTTTTTTTTATCATCGGAATCAGTTGGAATAGGGAGGTATTCTCCATTTTTGCCCGCTGAGTTCTATAAATTCTTCTGGCAGATTACCTTGCTGTTTGCTTCCCATGTCTGCTCGTCACAACCGTTGTCATGACTGGTAAACGTTGGTCTAGTAGTGGATCTATTCACTTTAGGGTCCCATTTGTAAGGGGTTCACGAAAGGGGGAAGGGATCACAGATCTTGCTCATCACATCAATATGATCCAATATCCGCATTCTTTCCCGTCTTTCCCATTTGTAAATTATCTTCCCATTTACACCATTGGCCCAGAGCAAATTTACCAAAAAAACTGGAAGGTTAAGAAGTTTAATACAAACAAAAATGTGGTTCATTTTGTGGATCCACCCCATTGATCCATCCCTACACGGTGCCACATTCTCGAAGGCCAAGAAGCTGCAGGCTGAAATCGAGGCCTTGAAGCAAGAGCCCGGAAGCGCAATGGTGACGGGTTGACTTTGGTCTTTTGTTGGTTACATGTTTTTACCATGCAAAAAGCATCCAAGAAATCCCAAGAACATGGCCCATACATGCCCTTATGATGTATGTAATTCTTTCTATTTTTGTGTGAGCGATACCAAGGAATATCCAATAAATGAGGTGGTCTATGGATTCAACATCAGCTTCGGGTCGGACTTTTCCTGTGATATATACGTCCACAGAAAACTGGCAGACTTCTCACTGAAAATTGTGTAACAGAAACTGCTTCGGATGATATCCATGATGCTGGCGCATAGTCAGAGCAACGCATCTACTAATCTCTATCATGGCCCCAATATCCTAATTTCAGCACTCAATGATTTGGACTGGCAGACTGATGACTTGAGGGGAGTGGGATGAGGCTGGATGGCAACAAGCGAGATATGGAAAGACATCGTGGCATTTTCCAGGCAGGGCAAAGCTGTGAGCGTGGAGATGGAGGTACAACATGCTTTGACCGAAGATGCAAGCCAATTCTAGGTTTTCAACGCTGGTATATTTTTTTTTGTGGTTGCTATAGCAACTTTCAGCCCATGGGAATCTTCCGGGTAGTCCCGAAAATCGTCAGATCTTCGGCCTGGATCCAGACTGCAGCCTCGAGGTAGCCAGGCGAGTGGGAGATGGTCATCAATCCATTCAGTAGACTCACCGTTTGTAAGGATTCCCATACTGGGATGGATGACCATACCACATTCATCCCATGTTTTGACATTGGCTATATATATATGCATACATGTAATACATGTATATCAATTCTACAGATAATACTAACTTTTAATAAATACACTTGGGTTGGGCCATTGTGTTTGTTTGGACTCCCAACTTGGATTTCCAACTTGGCTGCGGCCGGGTTGCGTCGTTGAGGAAGTTCTTCGAGACGCTCACAGCACCGCCTCCAGCAGATGATTCTGCCAGTGAGGTGCCACTGGCAAAAAAACCCAAGATAACTTTAAAAAAAAGCATGGACAATTGGGAACCATTAAAAATGGGTTGATCATTTTTTTTTCAGCATTTGCCTGTGTATATATATATATATATTTTCCCTTGGCTTTTTGGTGGTTGATTTGGTCTTGATCTCCCCAGGTTGACCAGCTGAAGGCGAAGAATGCGGCACTGCTGAAGCAACAGAAGACTCTGGAGGAGGAGATCCAGAAGCATCTCGGCCGATTCCTGTGCCGAGTTGGAGGCTACAAAATGATGGGTGCCCCAAACCATGGGTTTTCCCATTGATCACCAAGCCACTGATTTTGGGGTCATGGGTCCCCCCTGGTCCCCCCAAAAAATGGGATCCACTGAGGCTGAAACGCTTGGCGGACGAGTCCAGCAAGAAGCTGCAAGCTCAAGTGAAGGTGCCCTGACCATAACGACCAAACCACCAAAAGACCATCAAACCAACAATCAAAAAGACATCAAAACAAGACAACTAGCACCATCAAACATCAAACGAGCATCAAACGACCAATGTTCCAAACAAACGTGGAATAGCTTTACAGATCTATGGCTGTTGCGTTTATCAGCCATGTTTCACCAGGAACTGCAAGAGGAGAATGAAAAGCTGAAGCACCTCGGTGGCTGCAGCCATGGCCATCAAATATTGGGTTTAGGGGACCACTTGTTTTGGTCATGTTTGGTAAATCATTTGATTGGGAGAATGATTGGGAAAATGATGGGGAAATATCAATCTGATCTGATCTTATCTGATCCTGATATTTGTAGGACATGATGAATGCTTTGACCTACTGATGATTGATCAGCTTGCAAAGTTCTGCCTGCAACGTTAATTAAGTCCCGTTGGATGCGGGCCTGAAATATACCCTGCTGTGGGACCCCGTTTTTGCAGTTTCAGGTATCCGACCTTTTCCGTCTGATCCTGGGATGATGGGATGATGGACCCCAGATAGGTTTCCCCAAAAATAACAATTTCATTGCGTATATTGCGATAAGTCAATATATGATTTCATCTTAATATTGAAAAAAACAGTTTTTTTTTTCCGGTCTCCTAGGTCCTATGTGCAGACACCCGCAAGTAAAGATCATTTTTGGGGTGAAACCCTATGCCGCGGATTCCCCGCGCCAAGGAGCCAGCTGTCGACCAAGACATTGCCAC